CTCAAACAATTGCAGATAGATCTACCATATGACCCAGCTACTCCACTGCTGGGAATATACCGAGAGCAATGGAAATCATCAAGTCGAAGGTATACCTGTTCCCCAGTGTTCATCGCAGCACTCTTTACAATAGATAAAAGCTGGAACCAGAAAAAATGTCCATCAGATGAGTCGATACGGCAAATGTGGTATATCTACACAATGGAATATTTCTTTGCTATATAAAAGAATGAAATACTGCCATTTGCAGCAACAAGTATGGACCGAGAGAGAATTATATTAAATGGAACAAGTCAGGCACAGAAAGAGGAATATCACATGTTCTCACTTATTTGTGGGAGCTAAAAATAAATAAATAAATCCGCAAACAACCTGTGGGGTATAGGAAAGAAGACACAACAATTACAATTCCTTGAAGTTGATACAACAAGCAAACAGAAAGGACATTGTTGGGAGGGAGGTTTCGGTAATGGGCCACAATAATCAACCACATTGTATATTGACAAAATAAAATAAAATTTAGAAGAAAAAAAAAGAGGCTCAAGTGAGCTCCTTTGCTCCCTCTGCCATATGAGGACACAGCAAGAAGGTGCTGTCTTTGAAGCAGAGAGGAAGCCTTCACCAGACACCTGACCTGCTGGTAGCTTGATCTGAGACTTCCCAGCCTACAGAACTGCGAGCAATTAATTTTTATTGTTTATAAATTAAAAAAAAAAAAACAGGGTGGCCAGGAAAGCCTCCTTGAGTGGGTAATATTTTAGAAAGACCTGAAGGAAGTCAGGAAGTGGGCCACATGGAACCCAGGCTAAGAGTTTCAGACAGGAAAGAGCCAGTACTAAGGCCCTGAGGCAGGAGCCAGCCTGATGTGTTTCAGAAAGGGGGAGGCGGCCAATGTGGCTGGATCAGAGCGTGCAAGGGGGAGAGTGGGAGGGGATGAAGCCAGAAAGGAAATGGGCCAGCTAACACTGAACTTATGGGCCACTCACTGTAAGGGCTTTGGCTTTGAGCCTGAGAGAGATGGAGCCCAATGTAGTGTTCTGAACAGAGCAGTGACACCACCTGACTTGGGTTTTAAGGCAGCCTGGCAGCCCAGCAGCATCAGCAGTCCATTTGTGAGGCCAAGGTGGCTGACTGATTGTAGCTTTTGCCAGGTGACAAAGGACAACCAGACTGAAGCCCAGTCCCTAAACCCAGAAAAAACCCTGGATATCTCCAGAGGGGCTCCCACAATTGTTCGGCAGACCACTGAAGAGCACATGCATGTGAGGCAATTACCCCGGGCTTGGGAAAGGACCACTAGAAAGGATTAAAGGTAACTATGCTCAGTGTTCAAGGAGGGCCAGGAAGAGCACTTGTCCCCACCCCAGGAATGAAAACAATCTCCTAATTCAGGAGGTGTCTGGTAGGACACTCAGAAGAATCTTACCTCAGTACTGTGGAAAAATTAATCCTACACCATGAGCTGCTGTGGTCCCACCTAGCAGATCTTAAAAGCAAGGATGTAAAGAATCAAACTTTCCAGGAAAGTTGATGGCAAATTAATGAACAGAACTCATGAATATGTTTAGAAATACAAAAATAGACAGCACCCACCCAAGGTAAAATGCACGATGTCTGTTATGCAATGGAAAATCACCCAGCATGCAAATATTCAGCATACCCAAGCTATAAGGAGAGAAGTCAATCATTAAATCAGGCATCCAGACTGGAAAGGAAGAAGCAAAACTCTTTATCTGCAGAAGCGACTACGCGGGCTTGGGAAACGACCACTAGAAAGGGTTAAAGGTAAGTATGCTCAGTGTTCAAGGAGGGCCAGGAAGAGCACTTGCCCCACCCCAGGAATGAAAACAATCTCCTAATTCAGGAGGTGTCTAGTAGGACACTAGAAGAATCTTGCCTCAGTAGTGTGGAAAAATTAATCCTACACCATGAGCTGCTGTGCTCCCACCTAGCAGACCTTAAAAGCAAGGATGTAAAGAATCAAACTGTTTCCAGGTAATTCGATGGCAAATTAAAGAACAGAACTCATGAATATGTCTAGAAATACAAAAATAGACAGCACCCACACAACGTAAAATACACGATGTCCGTTATCCAATGGAAAATCACCCAGCATGCAAATATTCAGCATACCCAAGCTACAAGGAGAGAAGTCAATCATTAAATCAGGCATCCAGACTGGAAAGGAAGAAGCAAAACTCTTTATCTGCAGATGCGACTGTCCGTGGAGAAAATACAATGGAATCTGCAAAAGTGTGACTTGAACTAGATAAGTGAGTTTAGCAAGGGTGCAGGATATTTTAGAGACCTAACTGCCTTTACGCGATCATTTACCCAATTGTCCCAGCACTTTTGTTCACTGATCCAAAATAAGGCAAGGGACCCAGAAAATTCCTGTTCTAGCGTTTCTGTGCTGTTTTCTCTTCTCACACAAAATAATTATTCATTTCAGCAGAAAGTCAATGCAACGTTGACACGGATGTCGGGAAACCAGAATTCTGGTGAGAGGCCACACCTTCTGGGAGTCGTTGTGTACTGCAAATCACAAACACTAAGTTTTTAGAGAATTTTAGAAAGAGCAAAAACTCATACGTTAATTAAAAAATTTTAGAAAAAAGGTAATGCGAAACTTACAAAGTAAGTTGTGCGTTCGTGTCACTGTTATACCTTTGCTATATACATACAACTGTAAAGCTAAGAACGGAGTCCAAAATGTTGACAGTAGGCAGGACACAGTTGACTTCCATTTTCTTTCATTTCCTAAATTGCCTTCAAGTGCTTTGCACTACTTGACTATCTGAATTCCAGAACTTCCCCTCAACCCCAGGACAAAAGCTAGAAAATTGGAAGCTGCTGTAGCTGAAAAGAAACTCGGACACAGATTCATAGGTCACTTTTATTTTCTACAGTAACAAACATTTAGTCATCTCCCTCCTCCAGCAACAGGGAAACAAAACAAGTGGGCCCCGAGCACCCAAGAACCAGTAGAGGCAAAAAATTAGAATTCAAGAGAAAAGTGGCAACGAAGGCAGGAATCAAAGCCCTGGGGAAGGATGCGTTGGCTGGCATGAGACACGAGCCTGGACTTCAGTGCCATCGTTCCAGCAGAGATAAAGGGATAAACTGGGGCCCAAAGGCCTGAATGGTCTGCACCACCGAGGAAAGCAGGTCAAGAAAGGAGATTACGGAAGCTCGGAGGATGACGGGGTCTGGAGAAGTCCATTTGCTAAAAGGGAAAGAAAACGAAAATTAAGTTAACAGCGGGAACNCAGGAAGGGCACTTGTCCCACCCCAGGAATGAAAACAATCTCCTAATTCAGGAGGTGTCTGGTAGGACACTCAGAAGAATCTTACCTCAGTACTGTGGAAAAATTAATCCTACACCATGAGCTGCTGTGGTCCCACCTAGCAGATCTTAAAAGCAAGGATGTAAAGAATCAAACTTTCCAGGAAAGTTGATGGCAAATTAATGAACAGAACTCATGAATATGTTTAGAAATACAAAAATAGACAGCACCCACCCAAGGTAAAATGCACGATGTCTGTTATGCAATGGAAAATCACCCAGCATGCAAATATTCAGCATACCCAAGCTATAAGGAGAGAAGTCAATCATTAAATCAGGCATCCAGACTGGAAAGGAAGAAGCAAAACTCTTTATCTGCAGAAGCGACTGTCCGTGGAGAAAATCCAATGGAATTTGCAAAAGTGTGACTTGAACTAGATAAGTGAGTTTAGCAAGGGTGCAGGATATTTTAGAGACCTAACTGCCTTTACCCAATCATTTACCCAATTGTCCCAGCACTTTCCTTCAGTGATTCGAAAAAAGGCAAGTGAGCCCCAAAATTCTTATTCTAATGTTTCTGTGTTGTTTTCTCTTCTCACACAAAATAATTATTCATTTCAGCAGAAAGTCAACC